CCAAGGGACTCACAGGAGTCTTCTCCAGCGCCATAGTTCAAAGGCCTCAATTCTTTGGCGCTCAGCCTTTCTTATGGTCAAACTTTTGGAGCCATACATTGTAGCTGGGAAAACCATAGCCTTGACTATACGCACTTCTGTTGGCAGGGTGATGTCTCTGCTTTTTAGTATGCTGTCTAGATTTGCCATAGCTTCCCTCCCCAGGAACAAGCGTCTTTTAATTTCTTGGCTGTAGTCCCATCTGCAGTGATCTTGGAACCCAGGAAAATAAAACCTGTCACTACCAGAACACTACCTAGAACAAAATATATACAGAATCTAAAACTTTATTCTACCAATGCCTATTTTCCTAATTTAAACGAGACTCATATAAAAGAACTTAGGCATGACTATATTCTGAAAGTGATATTGAACTTTCATTCAACTTTCGTTGAACTCATAAGCCACAGTAACATTTTTTTATAATGCTGTATCTGAAATCTTGTAATTCAGTTTGGTTAAGCAAAAGGTAGATATTCCATTTTGAGAGCAAGCGGGTAAAAGCTTTTAAATTCTGCACATACTGTCCTACTCTTTTTAAACAAATACTAACCATTTGATATTTTTTTAAAAAAGTATTTAAATAAAATTGCATTTCCCTTGTAATTCCAGGCCCCGGGCAAGTGCTGTTGGTGAGAGACTTTGGAGCAGCGAAAATGTAACCGATATTTCAGATGCTTCTAAAAGACTGACTCAACATCGTTGTCGCATGCTTAGGTAAGATACAGATATTCTAAGATTCTATAGTTTAATAAAGTAGTAGAGTGCTATCAAGGTTTCTTAGAAAATTTCTTGTATCTCTTCTGTTACTAAATGAGTGTATTGTAACACTGTCCCTCTTTTTCACTGAACAAAAAGGTAAGATTTTAGCATAATGTAGGTAGCTTGAAGCTTGGAAGGCTGGATATGGCTCTATAAAGCTCCACAAGATTTGCAAGGATATGGGAATGTATAAATGCACATTTAATTATGTTACATTATATTAAATTTAATTCATCCAAATTCAAGTTTTGTTATGTCCTCCACATATGTCTGTTCAAATAGATAGGTGTAGCTTGATATTTACATTTTCCTGAGAAAACAATCTGTGGAGCGTTAAATGCATATTTTCATTCTTTGCATTAGATTTATGGAAGTACAAGAGTATAATTTGGTGCGGATAAGCTTCAGAATTTCACAACAAACACATATGTAAAATACATATTTTTTTTATTTGATATTTTTCCGACCTTGTATTCTTTCTTAATGCTGGAAAAATTTATTTTATTTAAAAACCTGACTTTTATCAGTTGAAAAATCTGTCCAATATTTCATGGTTTTTAACTTAATTATGAATGGCTCAGAAGTGTTTCTTATAAAACAATGCAAGCACACATATGCACTTTTTAACTTGTCCTTCCTCAGCTATTTGCCTTTTTAAAAAAAAAATAGTATTAGACCTTGCCATGAAATTGAAGTTATATAAATGATAAGAAGAGATTTTGTTTTAATGTTAAAAAACAGATTTTAGTCTTGGAACCATCTCCAATTCCTTCCGTAGCTCTTTAAATTGTACAATACAAACTCTCCTTTTACAGTACTTCCTGGCCACAGATTAATCCCCTTTTCTCTTCTCTACAGGCGTGGAATTGCAGCACAGCCTTTGTTTGTTGGATCCTGCAACCATGACTTCCTCTGATTAGGGATCGTAGCAAAAGTGCCTATTCTTCATTTTAATGTGAGACATATGTATCAATGTGAACTATATAGGAAAAGAGATATGTACAACAGCAGAACGCTATAAAACCTACTACATAACCACTAGGACCAGAAATATACTAGTGCATATTTTGTATATAACAATATAACAGTTCAGGAAAAAGGCAGTTGTAGTCCTTCAGTGGAATAACCGTTAACAGTCACGAAACCTCAATTTTTCTGAAGATGAATTACAATTTATATCTTATAGTTTCTATTGACATATAAACAGGCTGCAGCAGCAATCTATACTTTTGATCATTGTAATTGCAACATAAACTGTTTCCTAACATAAGATTAAAACATAGGATGTCAGTACTACTACATGAGATCATGCCAAACCAGTCCTCTTATTAAGCAAAGCATTTTGCTCAAAAAGGCTCATTGGGTGGTAGTTTGCCAATTCCAGCGTAAATGTAGCAGTCCCAGATGTCAAGGAACGTAAAACTGTTGAGTAGCCCTGGGGGGGAAAATGTATATTACAAAAGATTATAAGATGAAGCTTTTTCAAAGACATAAAAATAAATTTTACCTACAATTGAAATACTTTTTGATTGCTGCCAGTAGAAAATCGGTATTTCAATAACACAATATAGTGTATTTTGTCTGCAATTTCAAGTTTAAATTTGTTTAATTGTGAGGCTGCAAAAATTTTCATCAAATGCTTCTGCAAGTGAAATTGATCTGAAATGAGATTGCTTTATATACTAAGGGGGTGTGATTTAACTATATTTTCCTGGAGATTTTTTTATTAAACTCAATATTGTTAGCCCAGTAGAGAAAAGACTGCACTAACTGAACTATTTGATACCATAGCATAGAAAATGGGCCAGACAGTATAATGCTCTAGCACAGGGGTGTCAAACTCGCAACATCACGGTGCTGTCACATGATATATTGTGACGTTTTTGCCCTTCGCGGAGCTGGGGAGGGGGTGGCTTGCACATGATGCATCCAGCCGCCAGTTTGACACTCCTGCTCTAGCATGTGAGCTATACAGCCCAAGGAGGATTCCAGCCTAGATTAATTTAATCTGAAACAAACTGTTCTAGGTCAAGTTCTTCCATTAAAAAAAATATCTTTCCACTCAAGAATCACTATAAAGCAGAACTGCTCTTTTTAAGATTAAATGTTATGCTAGAAAAGTTTCTACCACTTCCTCAAAATGTTCAGATAACAAATACATGGAATAAGCTTGAAGTTTCATTTCTAAAAAGGAGTTAAAGAAACAGCTTGCTTTGAAGCTGAAATGCCCTGACCTGTGGTGGTTTCTTATGGCCAAAAGGATGATGCTCAAAACAGCCAAGTTGTTTTGAGGCTGGAGCAAAAGAGAGTGCTTTGTTCGGACTTTGAGATCTAGCAATTACTATTTCAAAGAAAAAAATATGTTTATTTATTTACATGGTAAATTTATATATCAGAATGCATCGCCAATTGCATTCTGGTGAAATGGAAACGGGAAAGAGACCTTGAGGTCATCTATACAAGAACCGCAAAGATGCTGCAAAGGGAACACCACTGTGTCTATGCCACTGGCATCCAACCAAGGAAACTCGAAGCTGTGGTTGCTGCCAGAATCTACTGGCAAGCCCTGTGCTACAAAGCCCACACCAGCTTCGAAAACAGGCACTGCCAAAAACAGCAAATGGCATCACAGATCAATACTGACAGATATTGTAACAATAAAACTTTCAATTGTGCTAGCTTTGCACATCTGGACTGGGTCTGCAGAGCCCCTTCTGTGTTCACAGATGAATTGCACAACAGCATCTATTCTTTGAAGCCCAAAATGCTATTCTCTATAACTGCTTGTTTCATGTAGTGTCTCTGAGCAGCATAGAAATTTAAAAACATAAAAAAATCCAGCAAAAACAACAAAAATCATTAAAAACACATCAGACGGGTAAATGGGATTGGGAAAGGCAGTCCCTCAAAATAATCTGACCCCAAGCTATGTAGGGCTTTAGGAGTCCTTACCAGCACTTTAAACTGAACCTAGAATCAAACTGGTAACCAATGAAACTCACGGAGCAGAGGTGTGATATATCCTAAGCTGGTGCAAATAACTCCCTACACCACAACAAATGCACCAGCTGAAGTTTCTGGATGCTCTTCAAGAGCCGACCCAGACACAATGTGTTACAGTAATTCATGTAGGAGGTTTTCGGGGTATGAGTAAATGAACATAGGGCCTTCTGTCTAGGAATGGATGCAACGGGCACACAGTCCAAAATTCTGCTAAGGCCCATGACTACCACCTGCTCATCAAACAGTCATGAGTCTAGAAAGACGCCCCCCTCCAAACAGCAGGTAAGTCTGGGGCAGCACCAGCCCATCCAGAACTAAAGTTAGTAAATTCTCAGATCCAGTAGCTCACTTAATAAATTTCTCGCTTAACAACACAACATTTGGGTTCAACTGTGGCCGTGGGTTGAGGACTACCTGTGCTCAATTTTTCAGGTTTGTTGTAAAGTACTCCACAGTATCCAAAACATGCAACTTTATAGTTTCCTGCCGATTACAGCACATACCATCATTTCTGCGAGGGGAACAGCTGCGATCACAACCTGGTTATCTAGGCGACCTTGAATGTCATTTATGTTGCCTCTCCTCTGTGCAAGATCAGCAACTACTACACCAACGTAGTTTCCAGGCATGGTCACTTCCAATTTCATGACAGGTTCCAGGAGTTGTTTATCTGCATTCTTCAAAGCCTAAGAAACAAAATTACAAGACAAATTTTCCATCCAAATATCAAACTACTTAATACAGTATTAATTTGCATCAGAAGATCAGGGTGAAATGAAGGCTATACTTATAATGTATGAATCCGAAAATTAGAAAATTTTCATATAAACAAATTATGAACTATAACTGAAATTTAAAAAAAAGTGATTAATTAAATGCCATTTTCCAAAACGTAAGTAGTCCCATGCAGCTTACAAATATTTTAATTTAAAACAGCAACTTAAAACAGAAAATATGTGGCGCAATACAGGAAGGAAGACTTGCCTACAATCCAAGAATGGACATTGAAAGTCACAAACTTTAGCCGAGATGGCTAAAATATCGGCATACCTTAAAGATCACTCAAATGAGAGATATAAACGAGACTGGNTTAAAAAGAAATATTCCTAATCATTCCCCCTTGCAAGTTCTAACAGATTCTGGAGAATCGGTAGCGGAAATTTAGAGTAGTTCGGAGAACCAGCAAATACCATCGCTGGCTGGCCCCAACATGGCGTGGGAATGGAGATTTTGCAATATCCTTCCCCCAGGAGTGGAGAGGGAATGGGGATTTTGCAGTATCCTTCCCCTGCCATCCCTACCAAGCCATGCCCACAGAACCAGTAGGGAAAAATTTTGAATTGCACCTCTGGCCCTTACCCAATAAGGATATTAAATATCCAGCTTTATTGGTATAAATCCCTATACTTAAATCAGTGCCCTGATTTACTGTTGCCTTTTCCTTGTCCTTAAAAAAGTATTACAACCCTCTAGCAACAAAATTCTAGAGGTTTAATAAGGTATTTCTATAATATATGTTTGTTTCTACCAATGTCAGTGATTATCATTAAGTGATTCAGATAAATGGAAACAAATAGAATCCAGGACAAAAGTACTGAATACATAGATAAATCATATCATGTGAATACAAAGGTTTTAGGAGTCATTATTTTCCAAATCTGATACTTAGCCAGTAATCATATTCCACTTGAAAGGATTAGGTTCTTGGCCATTAAAAAGGAAAAAAAGCATTTAAGTTATTGGAAGCGCTTTTAAAAGGAACGTAAGAAATGCAAGTTCATGTAGAATAAAATAGTATACATCTTTTGTTTTATTTTTGTCTTTGTTTTATACACTGGGAAAAAAGATATCCTCACACCCTGCTACAGTGGAAAACATCCAAGTGGCTCTTATGGACCTATAAACCCCATTTTGAATGCAACTTATGATTTTATGATGAAATTATTTGAAGAAGTTGGCACTGTATTTCCTGATGACTATATCCACTTAGGAGGAGATGAAGTGGACTTCAGTTGTTGGTATGGTGGAACATCACAACTAAACAGATACTAGTATTATACCATTCTCCAGACTTGATTAGGAAGAGGTATTGTAGAAAATCTAGTAGTATAAGTGCAACATTTAACTGCATCTCATTAATGTAGCCCTGTCCATATCCAGGATTACACAGCCACTGAAGGATATGACCCTAGAAACAGGCAGTAGCTTTAATGAGGTGGAGATGCTTTCCTGAATACAGCATATTTCAAAGTATTTCTTCCTAACGGAACCCAATATGTACAATTTTACATTACCAAAATATTTAAGTATAGAAAATCTATACACTCCTGTTAAAATGCCAGGTTTTTGAGATGTAAAAAAATCAAACAAAGATAAATAACTTCAGAATATTTTCCACTTTCAATATAACACACAAGCTGTACAATTGAATTGAAAAACAAACTGAAATCTTTTTGGGTGGAATTAAAATAAACTTAAATTACATGGCTATTGTATCATATAGGACAATTGCTTATGCATTGAATATCCTGATCTTAAGATTGCCATGCCAAAAAAGTAAAGGGGCTTGCAGATGCTTTATGCTTACTAGACAGTGGCCCAAGCTAGCTTATGTCACAAGTCAGAGAAGGCATTCTTTCAGCATTATGTTCTTTAGATTCCCATTCCTGTATGATTAAAAAGAACATTAGAGTGCAAAATCCATTCTATTTTTTTTCTACTTTAGTATTATATTATAAGAAATGTAATTTGTTGCTTTTGTTTTTCTTTCTTTCTTTTTCTTTCTTTCTTTCTTTCTTTCTTTCTTTCTTTCTTTCTTTCTTTCTTTCTTTCTTTCTTTCTTTCTTTCTTAGGAATTCCAACCCTGATGTAACTGAGTTCATGAAAAAGAAAGGATTTGGGTTCTGGTATTCTAAACTGGAATCCTATTATGTTGAAAAGTGAGTCTGTTCCTTTTTCAGAAATATTACTTTATGTATTTGCAGCTTCTTTTATTGATTTTATTGATTTTATTGATTGCTTTAATCCCCTAAATTTTATTTTTACTGCTGCTAGTAAAACTTCCTAAAGGCCAGCGGGAGGCTGGTTTCTTGCAGCTGAACATTGCAGGGATTGGAGTGAAATACCTAACAATGTCACTGGAGTGGGTATAAGTGACATTTTGAGAGCTTTAAAGGGTACCTTTGTAACTTAACAAAAGAAAACAAGATGCTGCTGAAAACTATCAGTTTACCTGCCTAATTTTAGTAGTATAATATGGGATCCATGTTATTGGCTGTGGCATGGAACTTTTTTTTTTATTCTCCTTCTTGTTGTCCATTTTCTATCCTGGAAGAGATGGAGAAGATGGGGTTGGAGTCTGCAGAAGATGAAGAAGATAGAACATTTGGCTCAGTTCTATATCTAGTACATTTGAATTAATTAAATAATTGGGTACTTTCAGAAGTTTTGAAGCAAAATCTGTTTTATTCCTTAATCCAGTGTAGTTGCAGATTCTAGTTCATAATTTCTTCTAAAGATGCTGTATTCCGCAATTTCAACAGTCGCTTCTTCTGACTAGAAAATTCAATAGGTAGACCAGGCGTGTTTTCAAACCAGCCCTCTGCTGTGGAATAACTAAGCTTAGTTCAGATGATGCCATTTACCTCATAACCTTCCTCATATTTTATCACCACACACATACACAAATCAATTAAGAGGAGGAATTGTGTAGAGGAACATAAATATGATCTTGGAGAAGATATGTGAAAATTATTACCAAAAACATGAACTCAGCCTGGGAAAACAAGACCAACGATTCTCAGGTTTTCAAGATTCTGTTCTTATAGCCGATTTTAAAAAATTGAGTTCCTTGGAGTATTTCTTGGAGTACGGTATTTGCTACCTGACCTGGTCTAACTTGAAGGACTGACAGATTGGAATAGTAATACAAATGATTTGTTTTAAAAGATGAGGAAAGTGTACTGTTTAGACAATAGAAGTTATCTGAAATGGTCTTTTTTAATATCACTCATTCTAGCATATCCTTTCTTATTTTTGATTTTTAAAATACACCCTTTTTCTAACAAATTTTTAAAAATGCTTTTTTTCCTTTGAATTAGGAGAGGAGTGTTGAGGTTTTCTATTGAAATAGGAGAGTGAATCAACAGCACACACTGTCCTTTGGAATTAAATGTTTTGAAACTTAACTAGGTATCAGGAAAAAATGCATTTCCAATCTTTACAACTTAAACAAAAGTTTAAAAGTAAGCTTGTTGCAATGATTTCATCTTGCATTTCAGGCACCTAAAACATAATGATTAAAATTACATCTAGAATCATGGAAAATTAGATTAGTTAAAGTTAACCATTTTAAAGGAAGTGTTATTGAGAGTTTGGGGCAGTAGGTTTGAAACTGAAGCAGAAAAAAAAAGGAAGGAAGGAAGGAAGGAAGGAATAATGCCTGCTTAAAATGATGGAGCAGAGAGGGGGTACATTTTTCAACTCAGTTTATTTTTTCGCTGTGAAGATCAAACATAATGAGATGCACATAATTTAAGACATGGTAAGTAGCAGAAATCTCTCAAATCAAGTTCAGTTCCTAGTAACTAGCACACTCACATATTTTTCTTGACAATGATAGACTAGCTTTCTTGCCCTAGCTGCTTCTTTAAATTTAAAATCTTAATAAATTATATTAATTGCATTCAAAATTTGCAGCAGAAAAGCAGTGCTTTTTAGCACTTAATGTTCTTTTATCAGAAAGACCCCTAAGTAAAAACCTACACCAGAAAATGTTTTCTTTGTCATACTCAGAAGGATATAGCAACATTAAAACAACCACAAAAGAATAGTGTCTATTTGCAAATATACCAGAATGTATTTCATTTTCTTTGGGCTCATAATCTAAATCCCATCAAGATTGGTTATTAACTTGAGATAAGTGTTTGTAAATATTTGGAAAGTTCAAAAGCAATTTTGCAGGCAATTTTTAATCTTCTTTTATATCCAGTTATTGGAAGTTGCTGGATGGTCTGTTCTTGGCTGAAAATTGTATGTTTAAGAGGGAAATAAACAATTGAATGTGTGTCAAATACATGAGTGTCTTGTTTTGCACCTAGAATTCTGGAAATAGTGACTTCTCTTAACAAGAAATCCATAATATGGCAGGAAGTATTTGATGATGGAGCAAAGGTAAGGTCTGAGAAATTGTTTGAACTGTTCCATCATAATTTTGAGAGTAGTTCTCATCTGCAAAAATACACCAGAAGATGTATGTAGAACTAAATAACTCTTTTATTGATTTATAAAATCAAGAAAGGTTTAACTAGTGTAAAAATGAGTAAGACTCATTGCTGCTTCTGTCCAAGGTTCAGAAAAACCAGCCTTCAAAATATTATAATCCAGACATTTCCAATCTCATACCATCCAAAAGTATTAGGACTACAATTCTTATAGAATGTTTGTATTGTAGTGTAAAATAAAATTAAGGGGTAATTGTTATGGGTTCTGAGGAAAAGTTGGGCTATAAATACATTGTCTTTTAGAATTGCTCAAACACCATGCCATGGTGGAATGAATCATATTCATGCTGTTCTAAAAAAAAGCAAAAGCATCCTATAATTTCCTGTCTTTTCAGCTGCAGCCAGACACAGTAGTTGAAGTGTGGAAGAAATTTTTGTATCAACTTGAATTAGCAAGAGTAACAAAACAAGGGCATCAGGCAATCCTTGCTGCACCTTGGTACCTAGATCTCATCAGTTATGGCGAGGACTGGAAGAGCTACTACAGTGTTGAACCACTGAACTTTATTGGTTTGTCAATAGCTCGCATTTGCTTTCTTTCTGTGGGAGTTGGGCATTTTTAATATCTTTGGATTCCAGTGTGTTGATTGGCATATTCCCTAGTGCTCAAATTCATGTATTTTCTTACGCTAGATTACAGGAAAGTTTCTTTTTCGTTGTTTGTGTGAAGGTTACAATTTTTGTAACCTAAGAAAAAATAAAGGTCAGGTAGTCCTTGACTTACAACCACAATTGAACCCCAAATGTCTGTTGCTAAGTGAAACAGTTATGTGAGTTTTGCCCCATCTTTCTTGCCAGTTGAGTGAATCACTGCAGTTAAATTAGTTAAGTGAATCTAGCTTCCCTATTGACTTTGCTTGTCAGGAGGTTGCAAAAGGAGATCATGTGACCCCGGGACATGCAACTGTCATAAATATAACCAGTTGCCCAGCATCCAAATTTTGATCATGTGAACATGGAAATGCTGCAATGGCCGTGTGAAAAATGGTCATAAGTCATTTTTTTCAGTGACGTACTTTGAAATCACAAAATTAACTATTGTAAGTCTAGGACTACTTCAGTGGTGGGTTGCAGGCGGTACGCCCTGATACGGGCATACCAGATCCTGCCTGGAGCACAGGTACCATACCAGTACAGTGCTCCAGAGGGTCCACCCCCGCTGCTTACCTGTGCTTTAAGCCTTTGGCACTCATGCGCACGTGGATGGAGCATATGGCGCCTGCGGGATGCTCCACCGAGGAGCTGGAGCATTGCGGAGGCTTGCGGAAGTGTCGCAGACAAGTACAACTTATGCGTGTGCCACACGTGTGAGTGCGCACGCCGCGTGCATCCATGTGGTTGATGCCGGGGCCGTTCCAACCATACCGGTTGGAATGGAATCCAAAACCCACCACTGTTTGTTTGTTTGTTTATGGATTTATATGCCGCCCTTCTCAGGGTGGCGTACAACATAAACAAAGACATATATTACAAAAGTTAAAAAGGAAATTAAATAAAGTATCCAAAAACAAACCCAATTAATATTAACAATAAATTTTTAAAAATTAGATTAAAATTAACAAATTAATCATTTATTTTATTCTGTTGAGGCCAGGCCGGCTTGCTGGAAAAGCCAACTTTTTAGGGCGCATCGGAAGGACCGGAGGTCGGGGATTATGCAAAGCTCCGGGGGGCAGCTCATTCCAGATGGAAGGCGCTCCCACAGAGAAGGCTCTCTCCCTGGGGGTCGCTAGCCGACACTGGCCAACGGCACCCTGAGGAGGCCAACTCTGTGGGATCGCACTGGATGGTGGGAGGCTACTGGTGGCAGTAGGTGGTCTCGCAGGTACCCTGAGCCTAAGCCATGGAGNGCCAACCTTTCTGATCGACAAGCTCAGTGTCTTAGCCACTGAGCCATCGCGTCCCAAGGTTGCAAGGTTACCTATGAGAAAACTTAAATCAGCAAATTGGTCAGAAAGTCCAGCTGCCTCTTGAAAAGCACTTTTGAGACAACCATGACCTGGATGACTGAGAATCTCCCCAGACATTTAAATCAGCAAAATGATTTGATACCATAAACTAATCAGGATGCAGGATTTTTTTTTGTTTACAAAATATAAAGTTTGAGAGATCACAGGAGGGTTTGGTTGTTGTTTTTTACCTGTTTCAACCCCACAGTCAGGGCAATGTTGCCAGCGGTTAGTGAAGAGATTTCTATTTGCTGGTCAGCAAAAGGCAGGAGCAAGCGACTCATTCTCTCTCTGCAACAGTTGACTCGGATTAGGCTTCGGTCCCCTCAGAGATACCCATTTATTTAAGCTCATTTGCCTTTTCCCACCACCAACCCTTTTTTAAAAAACTCACGTGCAATTTTTGTTAATATTATAAACTGCCGATTGAGGCTTCATTGTGCCAGAGTAAATGCGCAGAAAAACCAAGGGTCCACGCTGTTTGTCATGAAGAACTTTAAATGCCAGAGCACATAGATCATCTTTATACGCCGGCCTGGAAAAATCAATTAAATAAATCAATAAATAAACCAGCCAGCCCACCTATTCATCTTAGAAATCATGACATGAAATAAAAAATACTTAGCATCTAGCAGCAGATTCATTCACTGAAAGCACCATAATTACTGATAACTGAGTGGTTTCCGCTGCATTTGCAGACATGTTATTTGTATTTCCTTAATCACCCTGAAATACTAAGTGGGAAGATCTTTGCATAGATTAGGCTTCCTGGAATCCTTGGCTGTGTTTGTCTCTTGCCGATTAACAGTACATTGTGTTTGTAGCATGCTTTCCATATTCCTGATTCTCCAAAAATCAGTTTACTTGCCCATCCCGTAAGATATTAAATTTTCTTTGCTGTACAAATCTTGCTTACTTTTGATCAAATGAAATTACATCTTTATTCCATACTCACAAGAAATCATAACTGCGTTCATCAGGTGCAGGCAAATACTTGGTGATCGCATCTAACAAGGGCTGAACACCCTTATTTTTCAATGCACTTCCGCAAAACACAGGCACTGCTTTATGAGCCAGGGTTACTCTTCGTATTGCAGCCTGTAGCTGTAGAAAATCGAGAAGACACAGTTATTTTAAACAAATGCATGCTTACAATTCAATGCAATATGAAAAACATGTGGCTGGATACACTGATTGACTCAAAAAGTTAACAACAAATCAAAGTAAGTGCAATTGCAAGTGTGCATCTGCCTATTCCACTTCTTAGATACATTAATTGGTTTTTGCTTGGCATTACTGTTTGTTATTATTTGAATTTGTATCTATTGTGTTCATGGGCACTCGAAACAGCTTGATAAAATTATATGGTATTTATTAGAGTCACTGAACCTTTCTCCTAGACTAATTACTTCTCAAGCTGTCAGCTTAACAGTAATATCAGCTGCTAAGAAATGAATGGCTGAGTTTGCCAGCCGCTGAGACAACAGGAATAAAACTAGCAGCACAATGGTTTCTCAGTTGGTTTGTTTGTTATATAAGAAGTGGAAACTATGATTTAAAAGTGACTCTGATCATTTTTAAACAAGTCAGCAACAAAATTACAAGTTGGCTTTTTCCCCCAGAGTTATTCTGAACTAACTTTTGTGGAAAGTGATACTAAACTCACAATTATCCTCTTCCACATTCAGACATATGGGATCACTGCATCTCCCCTTCCAAATCTCCCTCTTGTGCATGAAGATGCAAACCATCAAGCGCTTCATGTAATGTGAAAAATATCCCAAGAGGATAATGGAAATACATTTTACAACGAAGACCACCACAGAATGAGTCCAATTCAAGAAAAGACCCTTTTTTATGAATTCAGCTAGAATTGCTCCATACTTAATGTCACACACCCTTTACACCGGGGGTGTCAAGCTGACATGCAGGCCATGCCCACCCCAGCTCCGCGAAGGGAAAAACGTTGCGATGTATCATGTCATGGCAACGTGATATGGCGAGTTTGATACCCATGCTTTACACTATTAAAACTTGTAACTTGCTCCTTTAAGGATGCTCACATGCCTTAAAATAACTGACTACGGTAGTTGTTAACAAACTTTGTACCATTCCTCTAGCAAGTGTAAACCAGATCCCAAACCGCTTGCAAATCCCTCCTTCAAATGACATGGGATCTTTGTCATTTTGCAAATCCAAGCTTTCTGCGAACCATTTTGTGTTGTTTGAATTTATTTATTTTTAACAAAACTGAAATACTGATAACAACTGGTCAATTTGAAAGGAGAGTGGATAGTATGTTTTATCTTTTATAATAATTCTAAAACATTTGCTGCATTTCACATACCAGCTAGTTTAAAATAGCTTAATATCCACTTCAGGTAATTTTGATCCAGAAAGGTGGCTTAAGCATTTAATTGATACAGAAAATCTAATTTAGATTTCCTCTTGCCATAGCATATTCTGCAATCCAATCTGATTCAATTCCCTATTATTTCTCACTAATCATTATTTTTACCTCAAACTTGAGCAATATTATTCAAAGAAACTATTTTATTTTAATCTATGACACACTCTATTGGAAAAGAGGTCAGTAGCTTCTTTTTTCAACACAAGTATACTTTCATATATAAAATCCAGTTTACATGATGAATGAGTCAAGGCACAGACCTCATCAGCTGGTAATGAATCAAAACTTTCACTGAATTCTCCAAGGACCAATTCAGCAAATTCATCATCCAGATCTGCAACCTTTAAAAGATAATGCATTTCCAAATGGTTAACATTTCACATTATTTATGTTAGGTCTGCTAGCTTCTTAATGAAATAAAGATATAAAGGTCATGTTATTTAATCTAACAATATGAAAATATGAATTCCCTTAATTGCTAGCCTAAAAGTATCTTCCTTATATAAGCTTATGCAGTTACAAATGTCTTACACCAGAGGTCAGCAACAACGCACCTAAAGAGACATGGGGATCTAATGTGCCTCAATAGCAATAGCAGTTAGACTTATATACCGCTTCATAGGGCTTTCAGCCCTCTCTAAGCGGCTTACAGAGTCAGCATATTGCCCCCAACAATCCGGGTTCTCATTTTACCCACCTCGGAAGGATGGAAGGCTGAGTCAACCCTGAGCCGGTGAGATTTAAACAATCAAACTGCAGAACTGCAGTCAGCTGAAGTAGCCTGCAGTGCTGCATTTAACCACTGCGCCACCTCAAAGACACCTATGGCAACCAAAATTGATTCAATTAAAATAAAGTGACCAAAACAATAACATATCTCAGGATACGTTTCACAAGGCGCCAGGGGGCATTTTTTATTGGAGACCTCATTGAACAGTATCACTGTCTTAGTCTGATATGGGCTCGAAAGGATGTAAACGGAAAAAGTGGAATTCACTGCGGCTGCTCTGAAAATGGTACCTGCTTCCAGGAGAAAGCCATGGGGCCTGGGGATGTCAGGGGTTGGAGCAGCCTGCCCTTCTTCCCCAACACAATCTCCAGTTTCCAGTCTGCAGAAGGTGAGTGATGGTGGGGAGCAAGTGAAGAGGATGTAGGGTCCAATGCAGAGATAGAATTGTGCCGATTCGGACCAGTTCGCCCAAATCGCGGTAGTGGAAATCGCTAACCCTAACCCGACTTGGCACTATGTTGTCCCATTTAGGCCCTTTTTTTTAGCATGTGCAGAAGGCTGAGCACATGCGCAGATGCACACATGCTCACATTTGCGAACCAGTAGGGAAGGTAAGTAAATACCACCCCTAGTCAATAGAGTAGTAAAGAGCCCCAAGGCCTCCAGAAACACACTGGGGTGGGAGATCAGTCTAAAAGCCAATGAGGACTCAGTAGGCTAAGAAAGAGTCCAAGCCTGCAAGGGGGCGGGAAGCCTCTGGAGGCAGAGGAGGCTTGAGATGCCCGGAGCAGAAGGCCCAAGTCTGCACTAGGCCTCTCAGAGGCTGTCCGACCCCTGAGGCACCCCATGCTCCACTTCATGATCACCTCTGGCACAGCAGGGATGGGGATTGTTAAGCAAGGCAATCAGATGGCTGCCTTGCTTAACCACCATTACAACTTTCAACCATAATGGGCAGGCAACATTACAGTCATGTCAAGGACTACTAAAGCAGCATGTATTGTATTAATCAAAGCTAATGTTTACATTGGATAATAATAAATAAAACATGTATATTATTGTGTATTATATTATAAGCAACTGTCAGTGATGTTGGGCAACTCACAATAATTAATTTAGGTTAAAATAAGTGAAGAGTCAATATGGTACAAGGATTAATACTGGACTAGGACTAGGGAGGGGAATTGGTATTGAAACCTCTTCAATCATTAAATGTAGCATTTGTCTAGTTCAGTGGTTCCCAACGTGCGGCCTACGCCTCACAGGGGGGCAATTTGATTTTTAATGGGGACAATTTGATTTTTAATGGGGACAATTTGAATCTTGTTTAAACCAAGTTAAGCCTTTTAGGCTTCCTCTGAGTAGAGTTCACTTTTGAGTAAAGTAAGAATTAAAAGTCACAAGGGGGTGGGGGGGCATCAGGATTTTAAAGATGCTTAAGTGGGGCATGGCCAAAAAGAGGTTGGGAACCACTGGTGTAGTTGAACAAGAATGAAAGGATCTTGTTATGCCGTTTAGAGAAACATGTGCTAATTCAATGTTAATTTGCATCAAAGGCATTGCAAATGCTTGCCACCATCATAGGAGCAATTAAGAATTTAACAATACACATCCCAGAACGCTCTGATCAAAAATGAGAACATAGCACTATTTTCATTATTTGATTGCAGCAAATATATGTAGTTCTCAATGTATAGCTTTCAACTAGCCATATTTATTTACTCAAGCAGCTGTACATCGGACACTGTACAGCAAGTTCAAATAAACTTAGCCTATCATCTCTGGCTTGTATTTCATAATTTCCAGGTCAGCTTTCCTGATTTATTTATTCTGCAAATATGTGCACCAATTCCCCCAATTCTCTAATCAGCAAGACTTTTGTTGAGAATTTTGGGAACTAAAGTCCACACATTTGAAAGGTATTCATACTTTTAAATTTAATTCTCATGTGTCTTATATATTTACTTTAGAACTTTACTTGTTCTATTAAGGCATGTCTTGCATCATTGGCATTTCTTAACAAATTAAGATCTCCAGCTTCTTCTAAGGATTTCTGATTAAAGGTCTTTCCATCATCCAATCCAGTAACAGCATTCCAGATAACTTGGTCCTTGGTCACCACATCAATGATTCCTCTAAAAGATTTTGCTTCTCCAATTGGCAACTGTACAAAAAACATATTAAAAATTACCAGGGTCAGTAAGGTAAGGCACAGTAGTACCAAAGTAACACTAAATATTATTTATAAAGTCTCTGAAGTCAACAGACAACCATATCCCATAAAAAACACAATTAGGCCTCTTAAATCCATCAATTTCATTTTTAAAGGGGTATATGGTTCTCTGCAGAAACACCATTCCCAAAGGCAGGCACAGCGACAGAGAAGGAATGCTTCCTGACATGGCATTGTTTAACTGAAGGGAGCCAAAGTACATCAATTGCCTGATCTTAACAGATGGGCAGAAACCATGGAAGACAAGTGGTCCCTCAAATACAGAGGCATGTCCACAGAATCATGCCACTACATTCTGGACCAATGGTAGCTTCAAATAGGTTTTAAGGGCAGCCCCATGTAAACCGAACTCTGGGATAAAGAGAGCTTGATTGTCTGTAGTGACTGTCAATCCAGGGAGGCAGACACAATTCTTTGAGCAGGAGCAGTCAGTGCAAGACAACCCCCACGTTGCATATCTAAATGGGAAAGTACAACCCCATCCAAATATCAGAGGTAATTCCCACATCTAAAGGACCCCAAAATCCACGGACATGCTCTTGACAGAAGCCCACGAAGACCCAGAGAATCTCCAGGCATTTGGACAGTATATTGATGGCATCACTCAGTTAGCACAGTGTTGAGATGTACACTTGGGTGTCATCCCACAAATTTAATAATCCAGCATTATGCAAATAGTATAATGTATGTATCAGCGTGAAATTCAGCAGGTTGTGACAGGTTCTGGAGAACCGGTAGCGAAAATTTTGAGTAGTTCGGAGAACCGGTAAATACCAGCTCAGGTCGACCCCAGGGTGGGGTGGAAATGCAGATTTTGCAATACATACACACACGCCTGTATAACAGTATAACAATATTTTTAAAAAGCAGTAATAGGTAGACCTCATTTAGCATTAGAATTGGAACTGGCAACTCTTTTAAGCCAAGTGGTCGCTAAATGAAACCATAACTGTACTTATGATTTTATTGACCTTTCTTTTGCTTTACCGACTTCCAAAGGTCACAAACATAGGGATCAGTTGTGAAGTTACTTTTCCATCAGTGTGACTGCAAATAATCATTAAACAAGGCAGTTGCAAAACTAGGATTACCTATATGTAATTAATAAATATTAATCACTTTCTAAAATTACCTGTAGAAGTAAAGGCTTCACTTTCAACTTTTGCTTGATACTCTCAACTGAATGGATGAAACTAAAGACAAAATATTACTGTTTTAGAGAGAACAGTTACATTTCTTTAACCATTAAATTATTCTCTTCTCCAAACTTCCAAAGTAACGCAACAGCTACAAAAATAAGAAATTATTATTTGGCTATAATGCTTGCACAAGATTTTCCCCAAAGGTGCTTTTTCCAAAAGACAATTGGAATGTCTTGGTTTTCCCTTTGAAAATGTTTCGCTTCTCATCCAAGAAGCTTCTTCAATTCAGTTCAGAACTGAAATATTTTCACTGATTAGTTATTAAGTTATAAAATTCAGTAATAGCCTATCACTCCACATTGTTGTAGTCCCCCCCCCAAAAAAATAATAGTTATTTTGGTACCTTGCTCCATGTTTGTCCATCTTGTTTAAAAAGCAAATTCTGGGTATATGGTGTTTGTCTGCTTGCCTCCAGACCGTCAGAGACTGTGCCTAAGCAAAAATGTACAGCATTAATCATTTCTGTACAGTGGCAGTCTTCTGTCCCTTAAAACATGTAAATATTTATTTCCATGATACACAAAGGGGGGAAAAAACCCGTTGTTACCCATGAAATTTGCAATAAGATGAATTTAATAGAAAACCTAGTGCTAACATAAGGAAGGTAGGAAATATAGACTGCAGTAGACAAGTAGATGCAAAGAATTAAAAATGAATAACTGCAAAGTTAAAGA